TTTATGTTTCTTCTTTCTGTCATAGAAGTCAAGTTACTGACATTTGCTTCGAGAATTTGGAAACGTTTGTTAAACTGCAGTTTTTTGAATTCTTTCCATAAAAGCTACGCAAACTACTACCTAAAAACACTTGTTTTCATTTTTAGAGTCCCAGTCTGGAGTAACCGAAGCCTGTTAATTGTTAGGGGACGGCTGGAGGAGTCTGAGTGTTGAGAAAGCCTTAAAATATGCATCTTTAATGACGACTGTGAACGAGCTGTAACACTAACAGGCTAATTGAGATCTGAGGATCTTTGGTCAGTGAGAGCTGAGGTCTCCTGAGGGGTCCTACTTTGAACTGTCCAAAGCAAAACTAATATGCTAATCTTGTTTTTTTATTTTAAGGACCTCAGTTTTTACCACTGATGCCCAAACATCTGCATGCTAACGTGCACCTGGTGCCATAGAACCACTTGTGTTCATCACGAAGGTCAAAGTGATTTTGATGTGAAGACCCGGTGGGCTGATCCTTCAAGCCTTTGCAAAAGAAAAACCCTTTCTCTGATATCATGCCAAGTGTGTGTGTGTGTGTGTTGTGAGGTGAACTTGAGAGGTACAGTTTTGAATGCCTTTGCTTCTCTGCTTACAGTCATCATGGTTTCAAAAAACGTGCTGTCACCCACCATCCTGTAAAGTTACCGCTCACTTTTTTTGACGTCTCGTATTTTAAGCCAACAACAAGCCCATAAAGTGCTCACAATACTACGTTTCATGTTACATGCTTTTTCTTTCTATTGTTGGTTTGTTCTGTCCATATGGCTGTTTATAATTATGTGTCCCACAACACTGTAACCATCAAAACCTAGACTGTCATAATATCACTCAGCTGTGTTCCTAAACCTTCGTTAGGCAGCAGTTTTCCCTGGATGCTAAAGACTGACTATTGTTATTTTTTTCATAATTCTTAAGACTCATTTTACATTTATTTATTTCTTTTTAATCAACTTCACTGGCTGATCAGAACCTTCCTGCTTAAAACAGACGTGATTAAAAGTGGGAAAAGCTTGTGGTCATATTTATGAATTATGTCAACATTGGACATTATTTTAAGAGCAAAGGCTGCATAGTGATTAGACTCTAATTTACTGCCTCACATTAGTAGCAAAGGACCAAACACTGCCCACACATTTTCATTGTGAGCCTTTCCAACATTTTGTATTTGACTCTCGTGTGAGCACAGAGCACCTGTAGTTGACAGTGGACTTAAAGCCACTCAGGTTTGACCTCATATTAAACAATAACAGAATTGGTTTCATCTGCCAGCTAAAAGGTTCATGTTTGATCCCTGGGTGCTTCCAGTCTGCACGCCAAATATCCTTGGGCAAGACACTACCAACAGGGGTGGCCAGATGTGCGGCCTTATTTCTTACCCCCTGACCTGTAACTCTGAACTCAAAATAAGCACGTTAGTCCAGAAGATGTCAGCTTCATAAGATCGCTGTGATCAGTAATATTTAAGGAAAATATTTGACCAGATGAGTGACATTAGCAGCTTATATGTTTACTGTCCAATGCTGTGAGAGAGCAAGGCAGAAAATGACAAACTGATACTACTGTGCTTAAGACTGGTCTGAAATCACATGTAGAAATAAACTAATGTATACCTGAAATCTGACAGTTCACATGTGTATCTGTCTATGTACATGGATTTCCTGTTAGTGGCTTACAAGATACATCTTCTGTGATTTGCAGATCAGGGAACTGCCAGTAATGTGATTGGTTTGTGGAGCAGGAGGCATGCAGTGACACAGAGTAAGACAAAGCAACCAAGGAGATTTAAACTTGTGTACAGGTATAATGTGTGGATGAGAATGCAGCATAGAAAGACACAAAAAGCAACTTGTTTCCTTGAGTGAAGAAAATCAAATCCAGATTTTCAAAACATAAAAATGTATTGTACTATCAGTTTTGAAGGTATTAAAAATGTAAAGAGATAGAGAAGGTCTCAAATTTGGGGTATTTAGGTAGGGACTAATATTTTACTAAAAGATAATGTTGGTAACATTTTAAATGTTTCTTATCGTCCATAAGTCTCATAGGCAAACACACAAAATGTAACCACTCTATGCTAACCACTCTATGCTAACCACTCTATGCTAACCACTCTATGCTAACCACTCTATGCTAACCACCTCGGTAGCACTATTAAAAAACAGCCTACATGAATTCTGAATCTAGTAGTAAATTATTAAGATAGCACTACTAGCATATCATAGTTGTTAGAGCTAATGAGTTTGTGGTACCAATATTAGTTTGTACTCGATCAGAACACTGTTCGTTGGCTGACTGTGGATTTAATAAGTTTACTGCTCCTAACCTTCGTTTGGATTGAAGCTTTCATGCTGTTAGATAAAAATGAATTGTTACAACTTTTACTACTACCTTAGAGATTAAAGAGTTAGTATTGAAATATAATAATTAAAGTATTTTCTGTTAGTACTGTAGATACACAAGTTGTGCCTACTGAAACTCACACATTGTCTTTTGAAGGGTATGAACTTGCCCTCCACCTCAACCCAGCGTGTGTTGAGCTGGAGTTGGCGGGGCTCCACTAGATTGGTGGCTCCAGCCTCTGAAAGCTGATTGGCTAAGCCCTGCACCTCCTTAAGCTCCTCCTTCTTCTTGTCGAACTCTGAGCCAATTTCCTATTGAACAAAATCAATGGGGAAGGTCACTTGCTATTGGTTGGGGGCCAAGTGGGGCAAGCACAGAGAAGTATGTAGATGTACACACACACACACACACACACACACACACACACACACACACACACACACACACACACATTTCAAAGAATAAATAATGACACATTCCACTTTCTTTTTCCCATCAGCACATCATTTACCCATCAGAGACAATACATTGACAAAAGGGACAAAGTGTTGTGTTCGTCAGTGTCACATATAAACATACAAAGTTCAGGCTGCATATTTGTATAGTATTTAACTCCATTTCAAAAAGAAAGCAGTGCTATGATCATGAGGCACTGACTGCCTTGAGACTTTATTCATACAGAGAACAAGTAAAGTTATTGTGCTATGTGTGAACTAAGCAGTTTCTGGCTGAACAGAAACAAAGAGCTACACGAACAGACTGGAAGCAGAAGGATGGACAGAGACACAGACGGACAAGCAGTGAGGAATATCTGTCGCGGCAATGATGATGAGTCTGAGACGTGCGGGTGGTGTGTCCGCTTAGCGAAATGTCATAGTGATCATCTGAAAGTGAAACACATACAGAGAGTCAGAAAGGGCGGGGAAACTGGTGGGAGTCCAGGGTTTCCTTCTCACACCTTCTCCAAATCAGAACCAGATGTTAGTGCTGCACTGCTGTAGCACTTTGATCAAAATAAGAAATCATTGGACATCTTAATACTTAAAATTGCTCTAAACAAACAATATGATTCTTGTGTTCTTTTCAGATACTGCAGTTTCAAAAACTTAGCAACTGGAAGGAGCGCCTACAAACTGTAACAAAGTTACAAATGCTGCCTTCACAAGCGTATGAAATTGATTGAGATCCCATTTTTAATAAGGGTTTAATTTGACGTTGGCTCACCCTTTGCAGCTATAAAACCCTCAACTCTTCTGGGTAGGCTTTCCCTTCCAAGTGCATTTGTGAAGTCAGACACTGATGGTGGACGAGTAGACCTGGCTCGCCGTCTCAGCTCCAATTCATCCCAAAGGTGTTGCATTGGGTTGAAGTCAGGACTCTTTGCTGGTCAGTCAAGTTCTTCCACACCAAACTTGCTCATCCATGTCTTTGTGGGTCTTCATGCACTGAAGGATTAAGAGTTCCTTTCACTAGAACTAAGAGGCCGAGCCCAGCTCCTGACATATGGCCCCATACCAAACTTTACAATTGAGGCAATGCAGTCTGACAAGAGCCATTTACTTGGCAACTGCCAAACCCAGACTCATCCAGTGGATTTCCAGACAGAGAAATGTGATTCATCGCTCCAGAGAGCACATCTTCACTGCTCTAGAGTCTAGTAGCACCATGCTCTAGGCCACTGCATCCAATGCTTTGCAATTGTGCTTGTCATGTTGATGTAGGGCCTGGATACAGCTGCCCAGCCATGAAGCTCTCTACCTACTGGTCCCGAGCTAATCTGAATCCCACATGAAGTCTGGAGGTCTATAGTGATGTGCACTATACACCTCAGCATAACCTTGCTCTGTCATTTGTACATCTGTGGCTATCTAAGTGATTGGAACACCTGAATTCAATGGTTTGTGTGAATAAGTGATTACTTTACACCACAGTGTATATAAATTATTCTGAAAAACTACTCAAGTGGCAAATATAAGTAAAGTACATGGTTTTAATATAATGTTGGCAATGTCTAAAGCTACTGAGTTGGTCAAGTGAGGTCAAGTATGTTTGCTGCAGCAAAGCTCCATAGTATACTGAATTACATAGGAGCATGTTTTATCATCATCGTGAAGTAATAAACAGGGGTTTTAAGTTCAATGCTGCCTTAAAAGACAGTTAGTAATCATTTAATGACAATAAAATATTGCATACAACTCTGGTCCATTAATAAAAAACTAAATCCTTGATAAAATCTACAGGTGATCGTAATAAAAAGACTATTCCCTTAAAGAAAATGCTCAGGGAGTGTTTCCATGTCATTAAGCTGCAAATCTTTGATATTAAATCTTTGTCCAAAAGTTGGAGAAGGGGAGAGGAAGGATAGAAACAAAGGATTATATACCGCAAAACACAGAATGGCAAAAGATCAAAGCAGGCGATGTGGGAAAGAAAAGGCGTGAGATGAAGAGCTGCGGTGACAAACAAAGTCAGGCTGTGGGTCTTTGAGAAAAGCCAAATAGAAAACACAAAGAAGTGCTTTATGGAATGGAGCTGTGTGTGTGTTTCTGTGCACATCGTCACCTTGACCCTCTCTCCCTCAGGCGGGTCAGGCAGTAAGTCCACTCTGCGCTGAATGTCATCTAGCCAGGCAAGCAGGTCATGTGACTTCCTCCTGTATTGGTACCACTGGGGCGCAATGGCCAATGCCTTCCTGTTTCGAAGGACGCGCAGGTCCTACATGCATGTGCCCACACAAGCACACAGAGACATGCACACACATGAATATCACGAATATCTTTATGTGACACAGCTTTCATCCAACTGACCTGCTGTTACATGTATTCAAAATAAAACAGTGTTTATGTGCAGCTACAGCTGAGAAGAACATTAACATTCATGTCATCTTGCCTCTTTACTCCCACAATTATTATCTCAAAAAAAGCTGGTCATGAAAGTACTGACTCAAAAAGTTTTAATTGTAGAAACTGTTTCTGTATTTGCATGTATGAGCACTTTAACATGTTTTTTGTTTATTTAATGTAATACATACATACTTCTATATTTATAGAAGCAAGTACAACAAGTTTAGTTTTGTATTTAGTGAAAATTAAAAAATCTTTACTTTGTTAAGTTTTATTTTATTTAATGTAATGGTTTGCTTTATTTTGGCTTATTGTTAACATATTATGCTAATATTAGCATATTATGCTAATATTAGCATAATATGCTAATATTAGCATAATATGCTAATATTAGCATAATATGCTAATATTAGCATAATATGCTAGCCAGCAAAGAGCAACTTTTTGCTGACTTGAACACAGATAACAGGCTTTGGCTTAATGTGTTAGCAGCAACTTTTAGATATTTCATTGAATTATGATATAACACATTGTGAATATACTCCCATGTTATTACTCTGTTTAATATCAGCTGTGTGTGTGTTACCTTCACTGTGTTGTATTTCATGTTCAGCTTGTTATGCTTAAGTCTGATCTCCTCTCTCTTGTCCAGATCCGGGACTCTCTTCTGTAGACTCTCTCCTTTTAATAGTAACTCCTTAACTGCGCCCTCCTCACAGTCCTAAAAAGTACATGCTTGGTTTGTTAGTCGAAACAGAAAATGACTGGAAGTCACACTAGCTGTGACTGAACCTTGGTGTGAGGGTAACAGACCTTGTCCTCCAGGAAATCTTCTTCCTTCAGGTTTTCCCCTTGTTTGACTTCATCTTCCAGGAGCTCCAGCCAGACCTGCGCGTCACTGTGGTACTGCTCCAGCTCTTTGGCTGATGCTGCCGTCTGCCGCACACACACAGTCCCATGGCAACGATGTACAGGCGCACACATACACACAGAACGTACATCTATTTACACAGTCGCAGACCTATGTAGTAAGACTAAGAAGAAGAGTTAAGGAGCAACTAACTCTTCAACTACAATTTGAAATCTATTAAAGTAAATTCATGGATTTTAGGATTTAAGATATAGCATTTAACAATAAATATGAAACAGCCAAACAAACAGACTGTGTGTTACTGCTCTAAAAGTATATCTCCATAAAGGTACTTCCCTACCATTCCAGAGGTAATGCGCTGAGAGATGGTGTCAAATCTGTGGTTAAGCTGCTCCAGCTTGGGTCTGACCTGGGCCTGGCAGTTGTCCCCCCTGGTGGACATTAACTCTTGCCCCAGAGACCTTACCTCCTCCATCTTTCCTCTGGTGAGTTCCAGCTCTGCACGTAGCACCTGCAGGTCCCAAGACACATATGTAAGGTGCATAAACTGTCTTCACCAAAGGCATGAAAGAAACATTTGGCATAGGGAAAAAGCCTCAAAGTATATAAACAATATAACCTTCAACACATCACTGGGTCCCTGGCTGTCTATCTCATTCATTTTTCTCTCTGCACCATTGATCCATCCATTCACTTCCTGTATTTGTCCATCCAACTTGTGCATCTGCTGCTGGTAGTCCTGAAAGAGATAAAGAAAGAGAAAAATCTGACTCTTCTTCTGCAAACAGTGACATCTACAAGAGCTATATTTAGCAAACCAGGTCTAATATTAGAACCGAAACAACAGATAAATGAAAAGTATAATAAGACAGAATCACAGAATGATTTCAGCTCTATTTCTGACCAGCAGCAGGTTGAGCCATTCTTCTGCTCTAGAAGTCACTGCAATCCAGTTGCAGTGCAGCAGGCTGACTTTGTCGTCCACCAGGCCTCCGTGGCCGCGCAGCACAGCCTTTAAGGCCTCGGCGAGGTCCACCACTGCCTGCAGCTGTGGCTGGTGTCTCTCTGTCTCCCCATGGATGGACTGAGAACAATTAGGAAACAAGGACAGAAGAACTTTTCTATGTAAGGTGACCTTGCATGTTTATAAAGGCACTTAAAATAAAAGATATTATCACTCTTTAATGTTTGTCTTCATGTCGATATATACACGTAGGTACCTGTGCCCACGCCACCTCATCCTTCAGGTCACTGGGCATTCCATCCACTGCAGAGCGCCTCGTCAACTCGGCATCAGTGGCGGCGAGCCATTCTGTGAGCCCGTTCAGCTCCTTACGCAGCTTCCTTGACAACTTCAGACTGTTCTCCAGCTCCAACTTACTCTCTGTCACCTACAAACACATATTCTTTGATTATGCTGGTGGAGTTACTCCAGTGTGTGTGTGCGTATGTGTGTGTGTCCTAACCTGAGCTCCCATCTGGTTATACAGCAGTTTCAGGGCGGTCACTCTGTCGTCCAGCTCTTTGGGCTGCTCAGTCTGCTGCCGCTGTACGATTTGTCTGCCTGTTTTTATAACCGTCTCCACCTCCCCTTTCACTTCACTCAGCGCTTTATACAGCTTCTGTTCAAGCCAAATAGATAGAAGCCACTTAAAATAGAATCTCTCCATCAGTTCGTATGTGAAACAAATACCCACCATGCACTGCTCCAGCTGTGACTGCACCACATCCTGCTCCACACTGCGGATGTCCAGCACCCCCATTTGACTTTTGACCCAGGCTAGCACGCGCTCACACTCGAGCAGCCGAGAATCAAAGTTGGCAGGTTTCTGGAAGAGTCGGAACTTAGTCCACACATCTGCCAGCATATTCTGGGAAATGACAAGACCCATAGTACACATAATGATAGGCAACGAGTCCTACAGGAACACTGATTACAGCAAACACCATATCCTGTCTGTACATGTGTCCACTAACATGGCAAAAAGTGGTCACTGATACAGTTACCACAGCAATAACTTCCAAAGACACGTTTGAGTACTGGCAGGTATTTGATCACCTGTCAGTGGCGCAAATGTGCAACACACATGCATACTTGCAGTTGAGTAGTATCTTGCCCAAGGATATTTGGCATGCAGACTAGGGGAAGCCAGGAATCGAACCACCAACCGCTCAGTAGATGACCTACCACCTGAGCTACAGCCACCCCACATGGCACAGTATGCTCGCACTGATGTAAGTAATAATGCCCTTTGATTTTCAGCATCATCTTCTGCGTCTTATACTGTACTGTTGGTTGTACTTGTACCACCCAACACCTCAAAACAGGTTCTGATGAGGAAATGTGATGTGCAGGAGATCTGAGCATTCGAGTAGAGTCCATTTACATGTTTTCTAGCTTTAGGATAAAAAATGTGACCTGATGTTTTCAAGTGGTCGTCAGTAAGGGCTGTTTGCACCTATACTACCCATTTCAGCACACTGTCTGTGGTTATGTACCTGGGTAAGGTCCATCTGTCCCATGATCTTTGGGGAAGGCTCTTTGTCTTTGTTCTGGTTCTTCTTCCTCAAGTCCTCCAGGGTCGTTTCATGGCTGCTCAGCTCTGACTGGATTTTCTTGTGAAAACACAAACACACATGATACATAAGGAATTCATGTAATTTGATGTCATTTATTAAATTCAATTAAACACTAAAGTCAAAGTGAAATAACCCTAAAAATGCTTAAATGGACTGACAGTGTACAACCTTCTGCTGACCACAAGGGGGAAGGAGATATCAAGAAGAGAGAAGAACACGAGCCTACATCACCGCCACACTTACAGATTCTCTCGCACACACTTTGTCTCTGCCACCCTTCTCTTTAAAAACAAAGTCTGAGGAGTGGTCGTCCACTCTGCTCCAATAATGTAACCATCCTTTTATCCTCTTGTGTATGTGTGTCAGTGAGAGAGAGATTGAAAAAGAGATGGTGAAAGGGAGACAGAGAGAAATCAAGTCAAAGTGTGGGGAAGACAGCCGGAAAAAGAGGCAAGGACACAAAGACCGAGGCTGTTTGTGTGTCTGTTTCCTAACACCAGTGGTGAGCGGTGGTCTGGATTTGCCCTTGAACAGAGACTTTCAATCTGCTAAAGACGCCCAAACTGGTTTCAGAACTGGTTCTTTTCATTTTGGCCAGCTGATATTAGACCTCACACTTGAGTGCTGTAATATTTTACAAATGTTTGTAAAGTCAGGATATCGTTTGGAATTCTGTCTTCCTCGGTTGGCGAGGGAAACAAATGCCTTTGTTCCTGTCATGTGACTATAAAGGTTATAGAGGGATCATTGTGCTACCTGAGCTTCCTGTGGTATCTGCTGAGCGTCGATTTGATCAGCCAGGTATGCAGTAAGGTGGCGGTCTGTGTTAGCTAAGGATTCCTGGATCTGCTTCAGGCTCTCGTCATTCTCCCGAGCCCACTGGAGGTTCTGCTCCAGCTCTTTTTGCCTGAGTGCTGCCTGTGGAAACAAGAAAGTCAAAAGACATATTCTAACTCATGTAAATTAGAACAAGAACAATAACTAAAAGTCCGGCCCCTCTCCTGTAGAACCTGCGCCCAGTTTGCGTATCTCCCATCTTTAAATATGAAAACAGACTATTTTCTAGCTATTTACAGGCCATGAGAATTTTAGCACAGTAAAGCACTCGTAGAGGCTTCACTATTAGCACACAAACAGACACACACAGCTACATACACGAGACAGGAGTACATCTACACAAAGACACACAGCCCCCTGTGTGTACCCTCTTGAAGGATGGATTCTGGGATTTCTCTCGCATGTCCTCTCGGTGTTGTCGCTATATAACCGACGCTCTTCTGAAATTTGTTATCAGTGAGGCGTCTCAGTGTCTACTGCAGTGTTTCCATCTTCACTCTCTCGTTAACTGCAGACAGGAATAACTAGTAAACAATCCTATTACATCATATAAGAGCCTGTGTGACTGTGTGAGAGAGAGAAGGCTTAAATGTATGCGGTTACAGGTGAACATACTAATCCCATACAGAAGGATAATGGTTCCAAGTATAGTCCTGAGCCAGCCTAAGCCTTGTGCTAGCAGTGCATGCGTCTGAGGCCCTCACTCGGGTTTTTCTTCTTACTCATTATTCCTCTATCCCAAACATCGGTGACTGACTGCCTTATGTTAAAAACACCTTCCAACTGGTTTTCATCTGTTACCAAACAATGAAATGAAATCTCCAAGTATGCATCTGTGATCTGAAGAAATGAACAAGGAGACGTGGATTTATTTAATTATTGTTTTTTGCATGCATGGGGCAGATTTATCACTTTAAAGTGGAACATTAATATATTGAGATTATTATTCTGCTCTGTCAGCTAACTAGAGCTTGTGAAAGGAAGCTGACTGACTCTTGCACTTATCTTCTTTTTCATCAGCTAAGTAGGGTGAAAAGGAAGAATAATGCTTTTTGAAGCCTCTGGGGTAAGAGTAATCACCAATGACAACAGAGCCACAATCTCAGAATCACTTTCTAAATCAAAATAAGCTGTTATAGCAGAACAGCATGTGACAAGTGAAGTAGATCATTGTTCTGCTGAATGAAACCAAAAAATTGTCTGAATCTAACAAACATTGTTGAAAATGTTACCTTTCTCCCAAACCCCTTTAAAGTCGACTTCTGTAGCATGCTCAGGCCTTCAGTTTACTGACGGTACTGTGTCAATAACAGAAGTCATACTTTCGTCTGTACTGTGGCCACTCACAGCCAGTCACCTTTTATCATCAGATGAGAATAAACCAAGATTAAACAGTGCGTATGGCTCGTCTCTATTTAGCCTATTTATCGTGCACCTCTCGTCATGGAAAGAAAGTTGAAACATGATGACAGAAAAAGAGTTCCTTTAGTTTTTGATAGAGTAAACAGAATATCAGATTTTCATTTGGGCATTTTTTTATAACATTTTATGTATTTATTAATTTTACTCAATTTGCATTTTGAACATGTGTTGTCATCTGCTTAATATAATAATAATGCTAACGTATTATAAGTGAAAACTAAACCTCTAAGCTTATATATAACCATATTTCACTTGCATAAGAAAATTGAATTTTAGTCCGTTTAAAGATGAATTGCTGAAATCTCCTTGAATCCCTTCCCTTTCTGTAACAAGACTTTTGCTCAAACAAAGCTTCGGATGATATATTCAGACTAATGTGGCATTTTGAGTACATGTCATTATGTTCAAATTTTAAAACAATAAGATTTCAAAGGTCATCTGAAATCCCTGGGAAGACCGTGAAACTGACAAACAACCCTAGTTTCTGACAGTGTTGCTCATGAAACATCCAATTTTTGCCAGATGTAAGAAATAAAAATTGATTTCCTCAATGCCGTCTTTTCAGCTCAACAAAGGAAAAACATCCAGGCAATATTTTGCTCTCTGTGCACATTTGCTTCTCATCCATCATTCCAAGAAATACTCACTAAAACTCTGGTCCTGTCTCGCGGCTCCTCGTCTTTTTCATAGATAACAAATAAACAGGGCTCAGACCTACCCAGTCTCTCCCTACATGCATACATGCTGGTATAAATACCAAAACAAGGAGCAGGAGCTTCTGTTCCTCTCAAAAATACAAAAGGTCTGAAATAAAACACACACACACACACACACACACACACACTCTTGCAGTCTATGTACGGTAGATAAACAAAAGAAGGCTTATCAGGCAGCAAGGAGAACATTAATCTGGTTCTATTGTAAGGGAGGCGCACAACTATGTCTAATCTGTCGCTGAGGATCACAGCAAGTGGCTGAGAATGCAATCATGTCATCGGTGATGACTGGAAGGATGGCAAAGGGACAAATGGAGGACAAGAATTAGGCAGATAAAGATACAAAAGGGGAGCAATGATTAAAAAAACAGTTAATGTGTGAAAATGACGAGAAACACAAGATGTCTCAGGAGAATTACAATGAAGAGAAGAATCATTAATCAAGCTCAAAGAGAAGATGTGCGTGACAACAAGAGATCCTACCAGTGGCTAAAAAATCGAACTGTATTTTTAGAAGTTCTAGAACTTTTCCTGCTGATAAGGACCTCCACTTTTAGTTATGTAGTAGATCAACAATTAAATTACATAAAAGTACCTTTTGTTCACCGTCTAATATAGAAAGTTGAACAAAAACTTTGTTTTATAAATATGGGACAGTCTGCTTCCCACTTTTGTCTCCTCTCACCTGTGAGCCATGAGCAGTAATCAATGGATTGACTTTTAAGACCAGCTGAGAGCAGGAGCAGGTGGTGCCACTCTTCACTAAACAATGGCAATCAGTCACCGTAGTCCGGGAGATCCGCTCCAGCGTCACCGCGAGACCCACCCAGACACTAATGCTTATGGCTCAGACCCCCATAATTGTGCGTGAGGCAGACGCCCAGAAATGATGCTGTTTCACTTCTGCCTGAACTTTTTCCGGTGAGTTGTGAAAGGGCATGACACATGGCAGCATGTCCGATCTGAACCCTGACCCGGTCTGTTACAACTCGCGTCAACACACTACAGACCCTGGACTCATATAGCGCTCGATTTTGTTACCAGCCTACCAACCTCCAAGAATACAACAGTCATCCTTTCCATCCTCTCCAGGTCAGCACACAACTGTCCACAGCCTCTGAGAACGCTAAGTTACTCATTGATCAAGTTTTCCAGCTTCATGGTATCTGACTGAGGTCCACAATTCATCTGTGGCATGGAAGACTTTCTGCACTGCCCTGAGGTCCAAAAGCATGCCTCAGGCCATGAAACTGATTCTGTCATCAGTCCTTCAGCAGTGAGAGTTAAGTTACCGCCATCCCTGTGTATCCCCCCATGTTTCATGTCTCCCAGACCAATGAATTATCAGGTTGTCCTAAAAGCTCCCTGTGCTGCAGCCAGAGTTCTGACAGTGACTAGAAAGTTCATGCTAAGTAGTTCAGTGACTAGTTCATTTGAGTTTCCCACTGTTACGTCCAGACAAAGTAATAAACTACACACATTCAGGTAAATGAGCACAAACTGCTCTCTGGCCTAAAACATATTAACAAATATGAAAAAGTAGACTGCTTATTAAAACAATAAAGTAACGGTTCTTTCAGGTTTTCCACTGTGTGCTTACATTATAGTTCACGTGCTGTATATCTTACCCTCGCCATAAGTTCATCCCATCGGGTGTTGAAAGCATCCAACTTTTGCTGAATCAGCTCATCCAGAACACCTCCATCCATCAGGGTCTGGGCAAGTTCTCTGATCTGGTTCCTGTTGTCTTCTGGGTGCTGCAAAAGAACCTCGATGCTCTGCATGTACAGACAGAAAGAAATAAGAGAAACTACCAGTCAGAAGATCAGCTGATCGATCCCCAGTTCCTGCATATCGAAGGATCCTTGGGCGAGATAGTAAACACTGGAATGATTAGAGAAAGCACGTAGGCATCGATAACAGTGCTGTAGGAATGTGTGTGATTGGGTGAAAGCCCTTGGAGTCAGTTTCAGTAGAAATCCACAACACAAGTAGCAATTCATTCACCGTTTTCCACGTTAGGCTGCACAGCACACATGAGGAAGGCAAGATGTCAGACACAGGAACAGCATACAGCAATATCAGTTACCATGTGAAGACTTCTCCAAGTGTGGATTAAATGTGTAGAGAATGGAGCAAAACTGCATTATTGATGTAACGTGGCAGAGCCACTCCTGGTGCTTTACACATGAATTACACTTACATCCAGCACCTTCTGTAGCTCATCAGATCCTCCCGGCAAGTTTTCTGTCTTGTCCAGTTTCTCCTCCAACTGGTCCAGAAAGGCATTCTCCTGCTCGATGTAGGACAGCAATTCACACCAACACGCCCACACCTCCTGCAACACAAAACAGACATGTGCCCTGAACTCACAATTAGAGGTAAGAAAGACTCTGGAGAATGGCAGAAAAAGAGAGAGCAGCAAGAGAATGCTTCGGTCAAAGCTGAATTATTGCAAACTGCAAGACACAGATGTAATTATTTCTCAGGAGCATAATAGCAAAATCAAGCACTGATTAGTTTGTAATTTACCTTTTAATTAGGTATCAATCCAGTCAAGCTGTCAAATTGCAGTTTAAATAATATATGAGTATGTCTAGATTCATAATATATTTAGTAAAGACTTTGAAGGAATTAGATGAAATAAAAATAAGTGTAATTATTATTATTTATACAGGTTTTAATACCTACAGATAACCCCAATGTACCTCATTTTGATAAACACAGACACGTAGTACAAATACTTTGTTAATGTACTTAAGTAGAATTGTCACACATCTGTACTTTTTATTTTTCTGTCAACTTACTGTTACTGGCTACATTTTTGCACAAATATCTGTATGTTTCTGTAACTTCCTGTGCATTCAAACATCAAACTGATTTGAGCTTAAATAAAGGAAACAATGGAACATTAAAGCGATAAAAGACACTTCTTTGGACTTTCTCATTGTTCTGCGCATCTAAAATGCTTTCTAAAACAAAAACTACCGATTGTACTCAATCACGATCAAACAAGGAATTAACAGGCCTGCCCTTTTCATTGTAGAAGCTTTAGCACTGCTTGCATGTATATATTTGAGCCTGTTTTTACAATTTTGACCGTGTGCAACATAAATTCAAACTTGTGCATCCAACTTTTTAAGTAATTAAAGATGCGTACAGTGCAATCATTCCACCCTTGAAAAAGAACAATTCAAATAAATAATTAAAAGCTCCCAAATTACCATAACATTCATTCCCACGATGAGTGCGTGTAGACTACAATTGAACATAAGACTTCTTTTTAATGAGGCTTAGAATTTGATGGTAAAATGATAAAATGAAAAAAAGGAGAAGAAAAAAGTCTGAAATTGGCTTGACTTGGTTCATTTCAGCTATAATATCTATTACACAATCTCTAAAATCATATCTACAGCAAAACACCCCTTTAGAGCTGTGCATGATGTATGCAAGCATCAGCCTTGAAGCCCCTTGTAAGGACATGACGATTTTACATAAAAGTGCATAACATTACATAAAATTTACATAAATGTTTTCTGTGCACACCAAGGTTGAAATTACTGCAGAGATAACAAATAAGAAAAGAAAGAATGCAATGTACCTCTAGAGTTTTACATTTCCCATCAAGGCGGCTGCACAGGCGCTGGTAGTTGGCTGTCAGTACATCCAACTCTGAGTGCAAAGCATCATGGGCTGTGGGCGGGGCTTTGGCAATGAAACTATTCACACTGGCAGTCAGGAGTTTGACCTTTTGCTCCTTAGAATGAACCTCTTCCTGGGCCGTCTGATGAACAAACAGACAAACAAACAGAGAGAAGCTGAGAGAAATGAAGCTTCACACTGCTAACAGAAAAACTGTGCGGTCTTTAATTTTACATCCAACAAAAAAGTACTGAATGAAGGAAAGTATACATTTAGAAAGTGAGGCTGTAGTAGTGAGACCTCCCTAATCCTTAACATAACATGAAATAAAATTGCATACAGTATTGTAGTAAGTTAAGTAACGAAACGAGCTTATTTACTGTCTGCTTGCGG